GTATATATCTCTCTCTCTCTCTCTCTCTCTCTCTCTCTCTCTCTCTCTCTCTCTCTCTCTCTCTCACTCAACCGGTTTCTTTATGAACGAGGATATTTTAATTTCATGGATCACGAGACTCAAACAAAAAAGGAAATGTCACAATAGCAATATAAATCAGAAGAGAAAATAAAAATTTTGTACGATTTCGATGATTTTGATATTTTTTTTATGCATAATAATTCTTTATAGATAATAATAATTGTTGGGGATATTTATAATTAACCTTATGTACTATAAAATTTTGAATATATATTCATATATCTATATTTTGAACTCATTTTCGTTATAATTTAGATCAGTATTTTACTGTTGTCTCATTCTTTGATAACCAAGCAATTTGATTTTATAATAAAAAAGTCAGAAGTCTTATGATCTGTTTTTTGTGAATGTATTGAACTAGAGTACGTTCACGTTTCATTCGAATATTTAAAATATTTAACATATATTTAAAAATTCTTTATGAAAACATATGCCGGAATATTTTATATATATTAAAGAAGAATGAAAGCTGCTACTACTTGTGTTAAATATATATTATTTGAGTTGAATTAGATAATGCAATTTTATGTATATTTTATGTATGTTATATTATTACTTTTTAAAGAAGCTTAGAGCTACTATCATTTAGATTAGAATAAGAAGACTCTTCGATAGGAATACAAAAATGTGTATCATTTTTATTTTTCAAAAGCAGTTATATATTTAATTCAAAATAATGTGATTATAACTTGACGCAATTTATTGATATTAAATCTTTTATACAAATGATATACATATTATTTAGTTGAGCAATGTATCACAAATTGGATATATATTATTTGAATTGAGTTAGGTAACATAATTTTATATCATTATTTTTTAAAAAGAATTAGAACTACTATCACTTGGGTTTCAAAGTAAGAAGAGTTCAATACAAAGATACATATCATTTCAGTTTTACTTTTTAAAAATAGTTGTACATTGAACTTTCGAGGTAATGAGATTATAACTTGTGCCATTTTTTTTATATCAAATCTTTTATGCAAATGATATACATATTATTAGAGTTGAGTATTAGATATTATTTGAATTCAATCAAGTGACGCAATTTTGTGTATAATACTTGGGTTTAAATAGAAAAACTGTAAAAATGTAAAGATATGTACTAGATTTTATTTTTATTTTAATAAGAATTATAATTTTTTAAAATAGAAATGTACCATTTATAATCACATAATTTGGAGTAATTTGGCATAATTATTTACATCAAATCTTTTATACAAATGATAACATGTTAATTGGATTGAATATAACTGGTACCAGTGATTGATAATTATATTTTAAAAGAAAATTAAGTAAAATAACCATTTTCATTTAGATTAGAAGGAAGAATTTTTAAGTAGCATAAAATTATACGTATTATTTAGGTTTTATTTTTAAGAGGAAAACATCGTATTTTAAAATAAAATAATTTTTACAACCATCAGAGTAATATTATTTATAAATATATTTTTTCCATTAAAGAGTAACGCTTTTATATAATCAATTTTTACATACATATTGTGCATGCACTTGACGACTTTTTTTTTATTTTTTATGAAAAAGTTAATTTTGTTGTGATCTCATTACATTTTGTTGCATTAAGTATCTTATAAACAGTATATATATATATATATATATATTTTTTAATTTTTTTGCGACATAATTACAATGTAACATGATAAATTCTATACAAATCTATATATTAATACCGTATAAAAATAATTAAAACATAGAGAAACTATTCTAGAAGCTTCTTTGAATAAAAAATATTATGAAAGAAAACACAATTAATTGGCATAAAATTATCATTGTTTGTGATAACTTAATTAAATATAACATAATAATAATTTGTATGCATCAAAATACAAGCAAATTTAGATTAAAATAATTTTTTACTATCTATGAAAATTTGAAAATATAAATCTCTAAAGTTAATATGTAT